TTATTTTTATTTCCTTCTTTCCTTCTATTTGTTTCTTAATTCAACCTTGCAACCTTAACGAGCCAACAAAAGACATTCAACGAGTTTACTTTTGACTAGTGTTTGGAATGAGGATAACCCAGGTCTAGTTTAGTCAAATTAAATTTTTTTCTTTATTTTTTAAAAGATTAATAAATACTATTGATATTTAGGTATAATGAAATTATGGGCTAATAATTCACTAGCCTTTGAGCTAAAAAAAATTGAATTTTAGATATGGGGTAAAAGTAAGATTAAAGTGAGTTTACAGTTTAAAGGGTGTAAAGTATAAGAAGAAGAAGAAGGTGGAAATTGTAAAATATGAAAACTCATACTCCACACACACACATTATCATTTTTCCCAAGTATATGCCCCCTCTACTACGTGTAGCTTGGCCCATGACTATACTTGAACATATTATTGTGCAAAAACAGAAAAAAAAAAAGAAATGCAAAAAAGAAGCATGGATGAACTCTCAATCTTCGGGACTATCATAATATGATCACCCCAATTACGGTGGCTCAATTTTAGACCTTTTGTTTATCCTATTGTCCAAATCGACGTGACTGATCAACTCTGCTTGCATATAGGCCTGATAAAATTTGGAGTATTCACATGGAATTGCTTTTGCATCCATGTCCATGTGTTGTGACCAACATTGATGCAAAACAACCTCTTCTGACAAAATTCATCAAAACAAGCGGCACTGAGCATTCTATGGAGGCTCTTTCCCTCATCGATAGTAACTTTGCTCAAAGCTACTCTCTGGCAGCCATTTTAAGGAATCATTCAAAATCTCATCATAAAGAATTGGGAAATCACTTTTGATCACATCTTCAAAGAAGTCAATCGTTGTGCTGACTTTTTAACACACAGCTTCGAGAGATCACTTTGATATTACCTTATTTGATAGATTAACTGTTTACATGACCTGATTTTGATTTTGGTTTCCTTACACAGTTTTACCATGGCCATATATTCCAAAAAAAAAAAAAAAGGCAGCACCAAAGACGTATCTACTAGAGTAGCCATCCAACCAACCGAGACCTACAACAGAAACGAAAACTTGAGGTTAAAAGTTGGTTGCTTTTTTGCAGTTTCTATTAATATGTTCAATGCTCATATACAAGGACCCACACTTTTTACACTCGTTCCAAGACTTAGCAGCAACTTCATAATTTGAGGGCAATTCTTGCAGGGACCGATGCAATTACACTAATTAAATCAAATAAAATATTATGTGTTATTTTTTTAATAACTTTACTTTTATAATGTAATGCCTATTTAATTTCTTATATTTTCTCTCTCTACCATCATTAATGTTAGAATCAATTTATGCTTAATATTATTTGGATGTCATGTTTTTATTGGATGGAACATGGATGACACAGTGTACCATGTACATGCAAGAATTTCTCCATAATTTGACTATTAAGTAATTGAAAACTATTAAAGATTGACAGAACTTAAACTAAATTCTAATCAAGAGGAGAACTTGAAAGCACAAACCATGCATAACTATCTGAATGATTCTTATCACCATAACAAATAAATTTTCCAATACTCTCTCCAATTAGTGCAAGGTCTTGAATCCGCACAGGGAAATGATTTATATACAAAAGAGACAAATTCCTTGTCTCTTCCATGTCCTCAACATTCCATGGCCGCAACTTCCTCACCTCCTTCTGCTCCAATGAATTAAAGAGACACGCAAATTTCAGGTGGTTGCTGCTAAATTATAAAGTATTAATCACATTTCCATGACAGAACACGGGAATATATTACAAAAATGTCATTATTATTCGTGTGGGAATTAAAATTGAATATTTCAAATGGATTACACACACACACACACACATTTGTAAAATCAAGAGTAGAAGGATGGGTCCGTTTGGATTTCAGTTGGGTATAATAGATTATGAAAATAATTGATTAAGTGGTAGATTTTAATCATAATTGATTATGTTATAACGCAATCTGTTTGGATACTCATGTTAGTAATTTTTTTAAAGATTCAAATTTTATTAAGAAAAAAAAAGAAGAGAAAAAATTTTGTTTTAGTTTTATTAAATTTTGTGCTTTTTTTGTGATTTTTTTCTTGGACTTTTTATGTAATTTGTTCATATAACTTTGTAACAAAAAAATGCAAAAGCGGAAAAGCTGAGATTTGGAGCGTTGGGAAAAAATCAATTTTTTGGGAAAAAATTGATTTTGAAAAATAGTGAATGTTTGGATAAATTATGACTTAATCGATTTTTTTGCCCCTAAAATCGATTAAATCCTCAATCCAAACGGACAGGATATCTTTAATGAGTCATACCTTTTGGATTTCAATGTCAAAATTGGTTTACGTTATATTATTCGCTGGTTACATTTCAATAAATTATAATTTTAGTATTATGCACCATATTATATTGGTGACACACACAAAAAAGGAGCTTTTGTAAGATGTAACCCCCATAGGTTTTCAATTTTCCAACAGGATCTTTTATTTAAATATCAATTTTATTTTGTTGACCAAAATTTTCTATATATATTGTTAACCAAGTTTTGCTAATTTAATCCTCCAACGTTCGGCTTCTTAGCACTATATATTCATTTTCAAGATACCCTTTTGGTTGTCTTAAATATATTTTAGCTTCTATTATTCATATTCTCATACTTCTATTCTCTTAACAATTCACGGGTTGCAAATGCCTTATTTCCTGCAATTTTTGTGACCTTGAGTCCATCAAAGAAAGAGTTTGTTTAATTCTAGAATACATCGATACTTGCAAGCAAAATAATCCTTAAGGATAATGTCATTCGATATGAGTTTAACAATTTTATCTTAGGGTAAGAGTTATATGTACTTAGTTTTATACACTTAATATACTATTATCCATTTAAATCAAGACAAATAAAATTTAATATATTAATAATATTAGTAACAAAAATTTGTTATAGAATAAATAATCTATATAAGATCTATATGTCATGATTTAATTGAAAATAAATACTTTAAGTATATAAGGTGTTAAGCTTGGTGAATCAAGTCCAAAATAAGCATATGAGGCTTTATCAAAATAAGGAGAGAATATGGTTCTTTATATTTAATAAAGACTAGGCCCTTATTTGCAATATTCACATTTGAATTTCTCGAGGGGACAATTAATGAAACTGCTCAATGCACGTTAGGGCTATACAAAAGACTAGATGAGATTGGACTTCAGTTTAACCTGAAGTCTGGTCTCTTTCATGAAAAGGACAAGGTTAAACAATTCATAGTCTTGTTTGGTCCAGTGATAATCCAAAAATTAATAGGATCAAACTTGGTCTATGAGACTTAAAGACTGATCCTATTAGTTCAGTACCCACTTAGTTTTTTTTTTCCTTTATGAGAGGCGATAATTCATTTCAATCTAATAAACTTAATTAAGATAATAAAAATACTTATAATCATAATCAACTCATAATAATTTCCAGCAAGAAGAAAAAAATTTCAATTACAATCTAAGTAGTCTAGATTAATAAATTATTAGTATGAGCATGCAACCGTGCGAGTAATTAGATTTTTTAAATTATTAATAGTCTCAATGTGTTATTATAAATAATTAGTTAATTAATTATAATCATATTAAATAAATTAATTGGACCAGACTGGACCAAGTGGTCCAGATGCCTAATCTTTTATTTAGTCCAACCTAAAGAAATAGTCTGGTCTTTTTAATCTTTTTAGTTTTAAAGAATTAATTTTTAATAGCACCAGACAAGAACGGACCTTCTCGAGTCAAACTGGATTGAACAGAACTGAAGGACTTCTACATAGCCCTAATGCACGTCTGAAACCCAGGGTGTGTGCATGGAAGTTGAAAGCTATAAGGTTCATTCTATTCATTCTTTCAATTGTGTGTGGACAGAACGAAACTCTTTCTGCATTTCCCAAAACCAGACTTCCCTTCTCTGCTCTCTTCTCTCTAAATGTGTGTGCATTTGCTATGAACCCAAACCGAGTTCCTCTCATGAGTCGATTCTCGCGTAGTTGTAACTCATCAAGTGCAACTCACAAGGCACGTTTTTCTCCTCCAAAATTCTCACATAAGGCTTAGTATGCAAGTTTTTCTCTTTATCTCATTCCACGTACAATCTTAAAAAATATTACCTATTGATAATTTATCATCTATACAACTGAATTCAGATGGATTGACCAACGTGCTTTATGATGAAGTGTTCTCAAATTCGTATCTCTGACCATTTCAGACTCATAAATCCTATGCTTAATTTTGCTGTCATCACGATCGAGTGATGCATTCAAAAAGAAAAAAAAAAAAAAAGAACATGGACATATGATCATGTCTTATGAATTGTATCATGCTTTAATTTTCGCACTTTTGCTAAACAATGGGTAGGACAGTTCCAAATCCACACTCGTTATAGTCATATATCGATCTTACACCTACAATAAGGATGAAAAAATAATTTTAACCATTTACTTTATTCAAATGAGTAAACAAAATAATGGTAAATTTCAATTCATGCACTTAGCCAATAAATGTTACCCTAGTTAGTAAGGATACAGCTGCATGTACTCTCAAAAAGCATATAAGAAATTTATATTTATTATTTATATTATATATTTTTAAGTATCATGTTGATATGTTGAACAATACGAAGAATTTTGGGTTTTTTAATATGTAATTAATAGGATTTTTTCAAAAATACCCTTAATTAAGGGAGTAATTAATAAGGTTATCTAATTGAAATAACCCATTAAATAAAGATAAACATGAAAATAATGTGTAATTTTAAAGATGGTTAACTAATTTATTGGAAATACAATTTAATTAAAATTATTTTATAGTACTGAAAAGATGTAATATGTTTCAATATTTTTATTGATGCAAAACTTAACAATAGATAATTTAGGAATATATACAAATAAGAAAATTTTTTTGGGAACAATATTATACCAGTAAATGGATTCTAAAATTCTAAATTAGAATTAATTCACATATATTGGAGAAGGTGAAGTCATGAGTGAGACATCATCACGTTCTTCAGAAACCACTTTTTTAAGTTGTTGCAATAATAAATCGAAGTCATGTTGGCTCTTCACTAAGCTTAAACGAACATAACGGTTTTCCGCGCCAAACAGGCTACCGGCACGTCCGGTAACATTAAATGTCTTGAGAACTTGATCCCAGTCTTTCTCTTCCTCCCTTTCACACTTCACCCACGCAAAAGCTGTGCGGATCACCAATTAATTAGTTGACTCGAATTGTCAATGCAATTTAGTTATAAAATTCAGGCAAAACATGGATTATATGACATTAAAATCATCTTGAACTTTTCATTGTAGTTTGTTAATTAATGTGGTATTAACAATAGATTTTCTTTTTGCAACAAACGAGATAATATAATATTTATATTATAATTGATTAAATGAAACTATCTTTTTTATTATATTTATTATCAATCAAATAATAAATTATAAAATCTATATTCTTGTTGCATTAATTATAATATAATAATGTAACTTATTTTTCAAACTTCACGCCATGACAATACAAAGAATGAAAGAATATTTTCAAACTAACAATTTTCTTATCCTTTTTTATTCTATTCTACATTCAAATTAAAACATCCCCTAATAAATAAAAATAACCAAAAAATGGATCATCTCAATACTTCGTCCTCTCTCCATATGCAATATCATCGATTTATTTAATTGTTCATATAACTTATATTAACCGTGAACAATCACTTACTGTTGCTTTAAACCAAATATATTTATCTGTTTAGTCATCATCAATTAAAAAAAATTAAAAGATAATTTGGTTTCTAAATTATAAGTTTAGGAACATTTCAGACTGTAAATTTATTTTTTGTGTAATGTTTTTTGTCAATTTTTGAAATAGTATATTATAGTTCAAACCATTAATAAAAGTTAACTTTAATCGTTAGTTAATAAAAAAATAATAATAAAAAACTACGAAAATTACAGAAAATGATTCAAAAATTATAAACAAGGAACTAGAAAATTATAGAAAATGATATATAATTTAAGAGTCATACTGCTATTTAACCCGCGAAGAAACATTGCGTGTGTGTGATCTTGTTTTCAAGAAGATCCAATAATTAAAGTAATAAAGCAAAAAAGTAATAATAAATATAAAGAAATTATATAAATCAAATGGATAATGAAGAATGTAGTTATATTGGGATAGGCATGCAACGGGATCATTAAAAAAAAAAAACTCAAAACATCGATATATGACATTTCTGTTTAATTAGCTAACTAATTAACAAGAGAATTAAAATTACGCACCTGGAGATGGAAGTCTGACTTGCTGGAAAAATGAACAATATTGAGATTCAAGTTGCTGAATGGAAAATCGTTTTGATTGAGACAAAGTTTGACTAATTTTCATCCATCTGCTTCTCATGATGTTATGTCCAAATTCAATCATTTCTCTTCCATTTCCATTATTAAGAACAACTTTTAAAAGCTTTAGAACTCTTAACTGAGTCTCTCTTGCTACGCCAAATATAGTCAAGTCCATGTATGTCAACATTTTTCTGTAAACAGCCTCATCCTTCACTATCGCCCACCTGATCATCATCACAGAGAAATATTAATTGACTTGAATAACAGATGTACAACTTTTCCTTGAATTTGTTTGTTTTGGTATTAAAATAATATTAAAATGGATGTTTAACATGTGAAAAAAAAAAAACGCAGGATGGAAGACTAACCATGCACTCATGCAACATACCTATATTTTATATTTCTAGTTATTATTTATGATGAATCAATCCATGAAGCAATTCAAATCAATCAATAAGATATACGCGCGCGCGCGCACACGTGTAGACACAGAGACACACGCAACCTTTGAAACTCTTTGAGTAAATTTGCAAGTTCATAATTTGAAGCTTACCCAAATCTACTTCCGGCATGACCGGTGAGCTTAGACAAAGTGAAAATCATAACATCCTCATCTGCGGGATGTGGGATTGGTGTGAAGTGGGGCCAATAGTAAGCAAGATCATGAACTTTCTTCACTGAAGGTCCTTCAAGAACAGCCTTTCTCAATCTTCCATCTGGATTGTTTGGCGATGTCACAAGTTCTATTAATAAGGTTGATGATGATGTGTTCAAACCATCATCTTCTTCCTTCCTCTTTGCACTGTCCCCAGTGAATTTATAATCCTCAGATTTGAAGAACTCAACCTGCTCTTTATAAACCTGATTGAAAAAAAATCCATTTGCCTTAACCATTGATGGAAAATAGAATCTGTTTTCTTAATTATATGTATCCCTGTATGCTTATTTACTATTAGCTAGTTTAAACTTTTCTTGTTCTTACAGGCTAGGGTTTGTTTTTCTTCATTAAATGTAAGAACAGGCAAGTAGTCTTGGGTTTGGATCTTTCTTTGAAGTGATGGGCACCAAATTGAATCATTCAAATCAAATATGACCGGTCACAACTACAAAAAGACTCTTGTAATACTCATTTTTCAATTTCATAGCATTTACTAAATGCTACAAGTTCCAGTACTATCTAAAATTATATCAAGAGGCATTACCCCTTGTATTATTTACTAATTTATTTTTAGATTTTTAATAAATTTGTATTTTAATAGAAGATGAATCAAAAATTAAGATTATCCCTTAACTGTCATTCTTTTTAAAAAATGAATTTATTATTTATAAATTGTAAGTTAAAATTTTAAATCTAAAGGGTCTAAAATGGATTTAAACAGTCCAGATCTCAGAAATGTGATGAGCATTGAAGTTGGGCCCTCTAGGGTTTTCGTGTTTACCGGGTAATATGGGATGGAAGCAACAACATTTGCAGGCGAAGCCGAAGCCGAATCTTGGCTGGAAAGTGAGTGTATTGCTGCATGAAGAAGATGTGTAGCTCCAGCCCCAAATATAATGTATTTTCCTTGTGTTATGGCATTCCCAGTAATGGAATGCACTCTTTCTATGTGTTTCTTTAACTCTTTTGAGATCAGAGACCCATCACTGAATACGTAGCTCATACGATGCCACCCTGATATCACTACTGCACTATTAGCTGCATTCTTCACCCAAAACGGCTCTAAAAATGTTGGATCACCACTGTCAAAAAGAAAAAAAATTAAAGAACAAAAATGCGAATTATACTTATCAACACAATTATTAAGACTAAAGAGTGTGTGTGTGTGTGTGTGTGTGTTGCATATCATGTACAATATAATCTGATATGTGTGTGTGTAAGACAGAATATACTCTGATGATAATCAAATCCAATATAGCCCGGCCCTATGGGTACCTAAGAAATGTATTGAATTGATCCAATCCCATCCCATCCCAACCTTGAATATAGAATTCAAAGGTAAGAAATAGGAAATGATGAAAACAATACTTATTTAATATATCTATGTGTGAAAGTGTTATATATGATTAAGGAACGACTGCGTCTTGCACATATTATAGATAAACCTACTATAACTATAGTATACCTTTTTTTGATTATTTCATGAATTACTGCAACGATGAACTAGGGGCATGGAGCCTCTAGTGCTCGATCCTTCTAATGATCCTTATAATGTCCTAAACTCTTAATGGCTTTTTTTTTTTTTTTATCTTTTGATCAATAAAAAATAAAAAATGCACAATTTTTTTTTGAAATCATAAAAAAATACAAAACTACACCCTTTCATCACTGTAAAATGGCAAAATGTCTTCCATTTTTTTTTTAAAAGAATCTAAGGATCCAAATGAATACAGAAAAGGGGGGAAAAACCCAATTAGAAGGTTAGGCACATAAAGGCCCCAACCTCTGTATACAGTACATCTAAGCAATTATCTACCATTATCAAATAGCTAGCTAGTAAGCCCTTCATATATATATATATATACACATATATTTCCTCTGTTCATTATTATAAGATATTTTCAACCATTTTACACATCTTAAGAAAAGTTAGTTTTTTTTCTTGATATCATAAAAAAATAATATGCATTTCTATTTTTAGCTTTTGATTTTAAATAATAATACAGCTATATTAAATACTTTCATGCTAATAAAGAAAGGTAAAATTAGAAAAAAGTAGTTTAATTCTTATAAAGCATCCTATATTTTGGACTAAAAATTATTTTTAAAAGATGTCCTAAAAATAAGATAGAAGGGAGTATACATATAGAGTAGAGAGAGAGTGTGTGTGTTCTTGTGAATAAATTGTCCAATTATATATATTTTGGTACCTATCTGCATCAACAAGGCAATCAGGCAAGAGTTGAGAGCAATCAGATCCACCATAACAGGCGTTGCATTCACAGACAGGCTTGCCATCATCATCATCATGAGTAGCAAGCACTAGACCGTCCAGGAAGGCCCTTCCATGGCCTGAGCAAGAGATCGACGCTACTGCTTCAGCTTCCTCCTTTGCATTTCTTGCCCAGCAGCTCTGCTTCTCCCAGCAGAAGCATGATCGGCTTATTCCCAGAGACGACGACAGATTTAATAACAGTACGAGATTAATTAGAATGAGTGAAGAACAAGTTAATAAACAGCACAATATAACTATGTGCTTGAAGCAGCAGCCGCTGATTTCCATCTTAGCCATCATCATCATCATCATCGTCTTCAAGTAGATTGTTCTCGCTCACCTTTGATTTAGAGTGTCCAACGTTAGTATTTATATTACAACCTTAAAATTAGATAAGGTCGAATGAATGCACGTTCCAACCAGAAAAGTGGACGTACGTATAGCGGCAATTTGTTTAATATAATATTCCTGCATTTAGTTCAACGCGGTTTGGTAACAAAAGGAGAGGATCGTCTTGAAGTCTTTTTAAAGTGTAGAGAGAGAGACAGAGAGAGATTGAACGTATGTGTATGGGAAATTTTCAATAAGCTCCCATGACCCAAATATATTTTCAGTCATGCCCCCAAAATTCTGAAATTTTACTCACATTTGAGAGATTGAAATAAAATTAAAGAGGTGATTCAAATGACTTTATTATCCTTGAAATGCATGAAAAATTCTTGTAGAAAAAATAAACAACTAGTATATAAAAAATAAACAACTGATGTATGTCAAATGAGAATTGTAATTTCAAAGTTGTGTTATGTTCTTAATAAGAATTGCAAATTTCACCTACGTCATATATTCATTTTTTATACATCAATTGTTTATTTTCCTTATATGAATTGTTTATGTGCCTAGTTTCATTAGAGATAATAAGATCATTTGAGCTATCTCTTCAATTTCATTTCAATCTCTCAAATGTGCAGTAAAATTTCAAAGTTGAGAGGTGACTGAAATTATGTTGGGTCGTCAATGGCGGCTGGCTGATATTTTCTCTATGTGTAATTATCTCCTTATTTTTCTCGAACTGTACAAGTACGTACTTGACAATTAAGAAGTCCAGGAAATCTAAACTTGAACTCAAACTTGTCGATCGTTGAATATATTGATTAAGTTAGTAGAAGAGAGATACAAGAGAGTGATCCGTGAGTCTGTTAACCTTGAAATTTTTAGAATTTACTCGATTTGAAGTGACATGAAGAGACAAACCAATTTGATTAATTAATCATAATTTGGTTGATATTTTTTAATATGGAAATTATTAATAAAAAAATCCTCCAAACAAGAAATTATTAATAATAAATAAATAAAATTCGATTTTAAAATACACATGAGCATGTAAAATGTAGTTGATCTATATTTAATATATATATCTGTGTCCAGTCAATTTAAAATAACACTAGGTTTGTGGTACATTGGGAAGTGCACTGCATGCTACGGTGGTATTTAAGATCACAATTTTTTCTAAATTTTCTGTTCTTTAATTTGAATACTTAATTAAGATATTAATGAAGCAGAATGATCTGGAGGTTAGTAATTTTGACATATTCAAGGAAAATTTTAGGTAAAAGAAATATCAATTGTTCTTAAAATTTCATAAAATGTCTTACATATCGAAACAAAATTTTTCAAAAAAAAAATCTTATATTTGAAATGGAAGGAGTATTTATTATGAGAAACTAGACAAAGTAATAAAGCAACCAGAAATTAAAATCCTACGGTAAAAATACCGTGTGTGTGTGTTATGAACCTCAGAAACAATTGACTGTCTCGTAGTCCATAATCCTATGTTAGTTACGAACCTCATAAAGTCATTTCCTTAGTTAATTCATTAACCAAGACCATGAGTATATATTTATGGTCATCTTCGTTAAAGTCAGAAAATGAGTAGTCAATTATCAATATGGTGATGTATAAATGCAAAAATCTATACACTAACTAATGCATGCTACACAAATATGTGTGTGTGTCTGTGTGTATTAATTGTTAACATAGGGGTATGGGACTATTTGGATGGTTCTATGAACCCACATCCCTATTTTTTTATGTTAAGATGGTCTAAGTGATGTCGTTTCTTTTCTTTCTTTGTGCTATTTTGTATTGGGTTTAGGTTTTTTTTATTGTGCTGTTTCTCTTATTTGTATTTTGTTCATTGTACCTTGTTTGACTTTGTAAACCCTACTATTTCCAATGATATTTCATGTTTCTAGCCAATATATATATATATATATATATATTCATCAGCACATTTAGTTTCATTAAGTATGGATTTGTTGTGGAAAGAATACCCCAAGAAGGTTTTGGCAGAAGAGATCAATGTGAAGTGTTGAAAATGTACAACAAATTATATTATTCTATTACTCACATTCTGCACAATGCGAGCATCCCTAAATAAATTAAATAGCAAAAAGGAAAAATTTAAAATATTTTCTCACAAAGAAAAATGTTTGGTCTAAAGATTCCTTGGAAAGGTTATATATTGTTGTTGTTGTTTTTGTTGTTGTTGTTATTATTCCATATTGATGTAAATTCTAAAATATTAGGAGGTCATTGCTCGTTACACACCAGATCGATTCGTGGTTAAATTTAAAAAGGCTGTCGCGCGTGTTTCATTTATCTGAAAATTGTCTTCTATCACAAGTTTCCATATAAATTTAAAATATTTAATTAGTCAAAACCAGCTCAAAATTAATTCGCAACAAATTTTATGTTATTTTATTTATTGATTTACGCGGATGGACAAGTACAATCTGAAATAGAAACAGCAGGAATGGTTAAATTAGGGTTAGCGGTAGATGGACCACTTCAATTACCCATTGGGATTGGCAAAACCCATTTGGAATATTCTTTTTCCTTTCGTGCAATTGTTTAATAAAAATAAATTATAAAAATACACAATAATTAACAAGTGAAATATTTCTTCTAATTGATTTCAATTTGCCAATTTTATATTATCTACACATTGAATAACTTATGGTTGGGTCAACTTATTTTGATTGCAAGTGGAAACAAGGTAGGAAAGAAATAAGAATCATGGCAGAGTAATTTTGTCTGTTTATCTATACCCTATAAAAAACTGTATTAGTCATAAAACCTTAAACAATGCAGCTTACCTAATTAACAATCCATTCAAAACATATATCACACAATTGAGTGTAGGTAGCACTTGGATTGATGGATCTTGATTTGGATTTTAGATTTGAAATCTTGTGTTTCAAATATCACATTTAAAATTCATGCATTTAAAATCTTTTGTTTGGGTAATTGAAAATATTTCAAATGAAGAGACAAACTGAGATTCAAAATAAAAATAAAAATGATAGAAATGATGAATTTATTTTCTATTTTTTAATGGACAAAAGATGATAAAAGATACAAGGGCCGTCAAGATATATTGATAGTAAAAACATAGAGTGAACAAAATATTTGAAATGATTAAAATTTTAAGTAATTAGGATGGAGAGGGAATTTAGAATATAAAGGAATTATAATTTGAATGGATTTGAATTTAAATTAAATTCAAATTCATAAATTTTTGTGTATCTAGATGTGGTCTAAATCCAAATCCACAATAATCCAAGCACACCACAAATCAAGTCTTCAGTACTAACAAAAATATAATTACAGAAAAAGTGGGTTTTAGTGAAAAAAACAATTGTTTGCAGCAACGCATTTTTCTTTCTAATTTAGTAATATAATTGTTCCTTATTAAATTAAATTCTTAAATATTTTTTTATTATAGTATCCATTTGGTGTGTTTAACATATCTTACCGAGAGGTGCTTGGTTCAATTGATCACAAAATGTTGAATCAATTTATTTTGGGGTACGGTCTTGAGTTTGAGTGAGCATATGCAAGCTTATTAAATAAAAATGTTAAAGATATCCTCTTGGTACTATCAAGGTTTCCTAAGATATTAGGTGATTGAATAAAAAAAAAAAGCACAAAACTTATATATATATATATATATATATAACAACAACATAACGTTCTATTTATATATATATATATATATATATAACAATAACATAACGTTCTATTTATAGATCATGAATAATATATCTCAATTTAAACTCCACATGAAAATATGTCTTTATATTCTTATCATGTAGCTGCTTCTTTGGTTACTTGATTTGTTACCTGGTTTCACATAACCTATAGTATGTCTTTATACCATGAATGTTCTGAAGAAGAGTTAATATATCAATTAATATTTAAATAATTAATATAGCAATTAATTATTGTTGATATCAACATAAAATATATGATAAGTAACTTTTTTTTTCTAAGACAGTGTTTGGGAGATTTTTTTTTGGATGGTATGGAATGGAGTAGAATGATTGAAAATTCTATACTATTGCTGGGAAGAATTTTTTAAAAGAGATTGGAATGATTTGAAATGGCCTTCTAAAACATCCTAAGCTTTTCTTTTTTCACTCATGGAATTGCCTAATACAAATAATATTATTATAAAATTATTTTCATCCTTCTTACCCTGATACTGAAAAAAAAAACATAATTATATCTAATTCAAATATATTAATTTTATAAAAAAATCAAATAATTATTAAATACAATTGTTCATTCCTTCATAAAAACTTTCAAATAATGAAATGTTCCATTCCGTTCCACTCCATTTCACTTTACCCCATTCCATTCCATTAATAATGATTCATTTCCATTCAATCATATGCTCTTTAACATACCTAAGAGGACACCTAGCTAATCTTTTTATATAAATAGATAAATACATTGATCTTAGGGTAAAAGAGAGTGTGTGCGCATCAAAACATTTATAACCTTTTTCTCGATAGTCTTGTTATACGATATTCTTTTTTAAGTTATCAAAAGCTTTTTGGCCAGAAGTTATAAAAATTTTAATTTAAAAGTTTAACAAGGATTGTTATATAATTTTAGATGTATTTTTAATGAATTCTTTTTAAAATTACCGCCTCCATTCTTTTTATTAATCACATTCTAGAAGTTTTTTGTTTTTGGTATTTTATACAAGTCACTTTGCCTTATTTCCTTAAGTTTTGATGTACAATTTCAAAACTACCCTTCAGCAAATTCTAAAAAAAGTGCACTATTTCAATTCTAAAAAAAAATCTTTCCACATTTTAAATAACTTTTTTTTTATATTTATTTTTAAGATATTTGTAAAAATAACTTATGAACAGGACCAGATGGAATAATTGTTTAATTTAAAGTTTGTTGTATATATGTGTGCATGCGCACAAAAGATATAAGATACTCTCTCTATCTCAAAT